ATGAGACTTCACCTTGATGATCTCCACTAGCTGGTCCACAGAATTTTCTCCGGGGAATAACGGCTGAAGATAAGTAATATCAATTGATTATCAAAGATATTGGAGAAATGCTTTAGTTCTCAAGATACTTAATGGATAAATAGTTTACAGTTACACTAACCTGACCAAGAAAGAGCTCTGCCAAAACACAACCAGCAGACCATATATCTATGGACGATGTATACTATGTGGCCCCAAAGATGAGTTCTGGAGCTCGGTAATACCGAAAACAAATATATGATATGTTTGGTTCACCTTTTACCTAAAGTGAATAGTCACATGTTGCAAGGATCATGAAAACAAATAAGGTGCAATTGATTTTGATGAGACAGAACACATAAGCAGTGGAAAAATAAATGAAACAGCATATATAAGGTAAAACCTTACCAATACTTTTGCACTTCCAAAATCACACAGATTACACTGTTGAGTGAGGGGATCAACCTATAGAATGCACCAGGGAATTGGATTATAATCTAGTGATGGTTACCGAAGACAAACCCATAATAGATCAACTTATCAAAAGGTTCTGTGGTTTCACATCTCTGTGGCAGACACCAGGAGCAGTATGGATATAGGCCAAGCCTTTGAAGATCTGCACAACATATTTGCTAACCCGTTTCAGGATCAATAAGAAAAACCAAGAATATTTGTGGCAGATAACAATGCATACCTGGTATGTATAAAGTTTGACATTAAAAAAAGGCATCCTCTGGTTTGAAATAGTATAGTGCTTCAAAACCTGGTACAAAGTCTCGGGTACATACTCCATAACAAGGTTGAGGAAGAGCTCATCTCTACTCGTTGTAGAGAAGAAAAAATGCTTCAAATAAACCACATTAGGGTGGTCCATTAGTCGGATTAATTGCAATTCACGATTTTTGTAGCACCGATCTTGCAAAATCTTTTTAATGGCTACTGACTCTCTAGTTTCCAAGCACTTCTCCTAGAATGGTAAGTTCATAAATTAATCAGAAATGGAAGAAAAAAGATATTGCCTAGAACAGCTAGCAGTGACAAACAGAAAAGTTACCTGGAATACAATTCCAAATTAAAAGATCCTGTTCATGCATCGGATTTCTTCTCGAGTTGGAGTATCAAGAACCTGTTCCTCAATCCCTTCTGTAATGAGCTGTCAAGTCCAGCTGTCTTAGCTCTAGAATCATCTATTGTCTGTATAAATATGAAGTGATGTAGAAACCTTAATCTTTAAACTTATACATTCCGAAACTAGACTTCCCCACATCAGACTAGCAATCTGAAATCTTATATAAACCATCATAAACATAAACTTTAGAGCTAACACTGTTCTCTAATCACCCTTACCTCAATATCATGGTACATACTCCTCTGCCTTGCTAGATTCCCACTTTCTAACTTTTGATGTTGATCTACCTGTGGAGCTTATCCTGACCACCGTGACCTGTATAAACCAGAACATATTTACCCTGTATCTTCATCATCCTCAAGCTAAAGCATCCAGGAGAACTATCTCGGTAAGATATAAAGAAAAATACAGAAACAAGCTACAGAAACTACTCAGTTACAGATGGCGAGCTTGTATTCTAAACCCTTTGATCTGCTACTATTAACCCCAGAAGCAGCAGCAATTTTGCAGCCAAATGAGAATTTTTGATTATACCCACATCTCTGCATCCCGTTAAAGTTGAGGTTCCATGCATTTTCATTGCTGGATGCTTGTGAATGCATACCAAGATTTGGATGTTTTGTTGTGGGTATAATCAAGAAATTTCACTTGGCTGCAAACATGCTGCTGCTTCTGAGGTTAATAGTAGCAGATTAAAGGGTTTATAAGACGTTGTTGGAAAAAGCATTTTTTTTTGCTAAGTAGTGAGCATGTTCATTGTGAGCTGAGATTACATGTATTTGTACTCTTTCTTATTTGTAATAAGTTTCATTATTACTAGAAAGGATCCTGGTTTTGATGAATTCTTCATCAGTTTCCATAGTTTAACTCAAATGAACATATATATATATATATATAGAACTTTTTTCTAATTTTTCTTTCGTAAATTAAATTTATTTTTTGTAATAGATTATTGGAAAATTTCTTCAACACCAGACATAGACAATAGTATGAGTATTATTTTTCTCACCACGCAACATTGTCCATTCAAAGAACTACCTACAAATAATGCTATTTATTTTTCACACATCTAAAAGTATATATAAATCCTTACCCGAAACGGAATCCAAAATCTCAAACTTAACCAAAATATACACAAGAGAATATGGTGAGAAGCATATTGAGCGACGTTCAAACAAGTGGCTTTGGTTTATTTTGGGGGATATTGGCGGTTGCAGCCACCCTCTCCATAATAGCCATGGCCGTATTTGTTTGCGCCGGTGAAAAAAATTCTAAAAAAATGAGACGAAAGATAGACCATATGCTGGAGCTAGACGCCTAGACCATATGCTGGACCATAAGCGTCTGACGGTCAGGAGGAGGAGGAGGTTGTGGCGGTGGTGGTGGAGGAGGAGGTTGCTAGATATCTCTTTGGTACCTTTTCAGAACGTATTGGTATTTATGACCGACTTGCTTAGAATATTTAGGCATACCCTAGCACAATTTGTGCATAATCAATTTTATTATTATGGTAAAAAGTATGACCAGTGAAAAATATCTATTTTGCTTTAGTATCGCATATCAGATTCTTGCATCATTTTATTATGCCACTTTATTAGTTCTATCGTTTGTATTTTGTGACAAATATCTATTTGCTTTAGTATGACATATCAGATTCTTGCATCATCTTATTTTGCCACTTTAATAGTTCTATCCTTTGTATTTCACTATATATCATATTATAATTTCTTTATGACGTCAACATGTTATAATATAATGGAAAAGTTAACTGAAAATGAGAATATAACCGAAATGTAATAGTATAGAATCGAAACCAGTAATCGAGGAGTTGTCATCCATTTTTTTTGTTGTTGTTCATTTAGGAGAGTTATCATCATTTTAACATAAAGCCACATATTTTTTGTTTTTTCGAGCTCAACCATATTTCATATAAATTCGTTTCTCCTTCTCAACCAAAGAGTATTTCATATGAAGAGGTTTTATTGGCTGTAAGATCAACACATTGGTTGGCTTGTCTTCCTTGGAAAGCGATGGTTAGTCGAATTAATCTTTTTCTTGTCTTGTTGATTTCTCTGGTATAGACTATAAACCTTGACCATTCTCGAGGTTCAGCTAACGCTTTCACCAATATCTTTGAATTCACTCTCGAAAATTACCTCTTCATAGCCAAGATTATCCAAACATGTCATGATCCAAAGAAGAGTTGTAGCTTCTGCCTCCATAATGTTACAACAAAATTTTCGAGAAATTTTGAGCTCAGCCTAGAAATTAAAATGAATGACAAAAAAAAAGATATCCTGAACTTTTCAATAAAAATTATGAAATGTAGAATGAAAATTTGGAAGAAACTCATATCGGTTTTTGTAAAACAAATAAAACATTTGGTTGATACCACACAATATAGATCAAATGTAAAAGCAAAAATAATTAAAAAGATGTTAGTTTGATCACACACGATCAAATGAGTTTTTGTGTGGTTCAAACATGTCTTGTAGCGTGATAGATATTTCATTTCTTCTTCCTTTTTTCTTAGGGCAATTTTCATTTCTTTTGTTTGTAACTTACCAAATATGTATTTATCTATCACAATAAATGGGTCTGCAGGTTTAGAAAATGGAATCTACCTTAATTCTTCACTGAATATGATTGGTTTAATTTAGCAACCAAACAAATTCCAGGAAAATACTCAAATATAGTAAGACTTTGGCATGTGAGCATGCAAGTACAGACAATGAGACTCCTATGATAAGAGATGTAGAAAGAACATTTATCTTGCCTTGCAGATATCGGAGAGAGAAGGAAAGACAGAACAGCGAACAAGCAGAGAAAGGTTTATGTTTTGTCAAAATATTTTCCATCTGCATCATTGTTAATGCCATAGGAGCAAAACAGAGAAAGAGAAAATACAAAATGATTGCGTTTATGGAAAACTCTAAAACGGTAAGACTTTGGCATGTGAACTAGCAAATGGTACAGACAATGAGACTCCTATGATAAGAGATGGGGAGTAGCAAGAACATTGATTTGAGATATTACCCCAAGCTAAAGCAAGAAAGAAATGCCATAGGAGCAAAACAGGGAAAGAGAATACCGACAATAATGAGACTCCTATGATAAGACATGCAGATAGAACATTGATTTGAAAAATGTCTCCAACTAAAGACATAAAAGAAAAATACAGAAAAAAGCTACGGAAACTACTCAGTTACAGATGGCAAGCTTCCTGTTCAGTTCATCGGCTGACCCATAGTCCAGGCTTAGCTCCGATAATGAAGGAACATCAAGTTTTTTTTTTCCTTTTCTTTTGATGTTCCCTTGTTATCGGAGCTAAGCCTGGACTATGGGTTGGCCGATGAACTGAACGGGAAGCTCACATTTGGTTCTTTGCCATCACATTTGGTTATTTTCTGGGACTAATGTAACAAGCCACATACGTCTTCATCATCCTCAAATTACATGAGACGACAATTCTGGTGGCTATCAGTTCACCTTTGGAGCTACGTTGTATCTGGCTGTGTAAGCCCACTGAGAGCACAGTTCATGACGGTAAAAGAACACGTCGCTGATCTCAACACCAGGGTAAATACTTAGTGGGTTCAATTCCTGGTGTTGAGATCGGCGACGTCTTCTTTTACCGTCAGTGCTCGGTGGGGAGATGAACCGATAGCCACCAGCATTATCGTCTCAGGTAATTACGAGGATGATGAAGACACATGGAGATACCATGATATTGAGGTACGTGTGATTAGAGGGTTTAAGAATGAGAACAGTGTTAGCTCTAAGGTTTATGTCTATGATGGTTTATATTTCAGATTGCTGGCTTGATGTGTGGAAGTATGGTTTTGGAGTGGGAAACTGGGATTACATGTAGTTTTACAAGAAGCATATATACTGACCAGAAAGTGAAGAATATACAAAGTTTACAATGAAGTAGAGGGGTTAACCAGATAGGGGAAAAAATCCAACTATAATAGAAAACATTGTTGGAAAAAGATTTTTTTTGCTAAGTAGTGAGCAGGTTCATTGTAAGCTGGGATTACATGTACTTGTATCTTTCTTATTTGTAATAAGTTTCATCATTACTAGAAAGAATCCTGATTTTTTTGAATTTTTCATTAGTTTCCATAGTTTTAGGTCTAGTGAACAATGTATATATAGATTTTTTTCCTAATTTTTCTTCCATAAAAGTAAATTTATCTTTTGTAATAGAATCTCCTCAACACCAAACATAGACAAAAATATGAGTATTATTTTTTCCACCACTCAAGAATGTTTACAAGTAGAAATACATATATGCTGTTTTTTTTTATAAATTTTTTCTTTCTTTTTGAGATTTTTTTAATTTTTTTCCAAATTGAGAAATTGATTTAACTTATTTTTTTTTAAAAAAATCTGCAAATGTTATCATTTGTTACCCAAATAAGAAAACGTGTACTCCCCAATAACCCCCCCCCCCAAGAATTTATAGGTTATTTTCTTCATTTTGAATAGTAGATGTAAACAGTATGGTGGACGATGTAGTTTTTATTTCATTTGTTCTGTTTTAAATTGTTTAAGAAAAACTAATTCTATAATAGAATATTGATTAAAAAAAAATATACCAGATACAATAACAAATAAACACATTTTTCATAGACCACTGCACCATCTTAACCAACTCATATTTATACAAAATGGCCCCTAAAATAATTGAAATTCTACAGCGCCAAGCAAATGCTTGATGGGCTTTTCTACCAAGAACAAAGCATCTTGGTTTCGAAGTTGTTTCTACAGAGCAGCTTGAACTCAAAAGACTCCACTCATCTGTCGCCTAACATGCTCTGGTACTAGCTTGTTTATAAGCTCTTGGGAAACTCCAGATAACTGTTTGAACATTTAAACAGAGAGAAAGAGATACAAGATTAAGAAACTGTTTGAACTTAACATCAGTTATGGTTTGGTTTAAGAATGTTTGGTTTAAGGAAAGTGGACAAACGTACCTCTTGTTTGAAGTTGAACAACGGTGGTACCAAGAACCTAACCCAACACAGCACATATATTATGACAAATGATAGGAATTTCCTATATCAGACAGAAAATGACGACAAGGTAAAATCTAATAAAAATGAGACTTCACCTTGATGATCTCCACTAGCTGGTCAACAGAATTTTCTCCAAGGAATAACGGCTGAAGATAAATAAATATCAACAATGATTGTCAAAGATATTGGAGAGATGCTTTAGTTTTCAAGATACTTAATAGATAAATAGTTTACACTAACCTGACCAAGAAGAAGCTCTGCCAAAACACAACCAGCAGACCATATATCTATGGAGGATGTATACTCTGTGGCCCCAAAAATGAGGTTTGGAGCTCGGTAATACCGAGAGCAGATATAAGATATGTTTGGTTCACCTTTCACCTAAAGTAAATAGTCACATGGTGCAAAGATCATGAAAACAAATAAGGTGTAATTGATTTCATGAGACAGAACACATAAACAGTGGAAAAATAAATAAAACAGCATAAATAAGGTTATGGGATCAACCTATAGAACGCACTAGAGAA